TGACAAATATAGAAGGATTTTGTTACAAGAAGTTATATACGTATATGCTTACGTATATGAGACTCGTGTCATTGAGACTGTTTTTTCGAACTGCAATCTAATGCCTATTACAGTTTAGAACAGTTACGTCACGATTTAAATCAGGCTTGGCGAGGATGGAGGTGGAGCTTCAAGGAATATTTATCAGAAAAACCAAACCATTGTGACTGGTAAATTTGTGGTTCTCCATCTATTAAAAATACTATAGATAGACTGAAAATTGAAGAGGATTCATGAAGTATCGTTAAGTTTGTTGGAAACTTGAACTTACAAAAGTTCTTTCAAAGTATGATTATAAATGTTTGGTTAACGGATAAATGGGAGAACGCGGGCATCGGGGCATTTTGAAGGACGGATTCCGGTATGACTGACGCAGTCAGTCAAAGTTGCTGAATGTCTTTGGAAATAAGGTAGGTTAGTTGTTGCCGAGATGAGAGACCTGGTGGAAAGCCTCAGATGTGCTTGTTTCTAATCTCGAGGTTGCGTCAGGTCGTTCCTTTTGCACAGCAGATTTGGAGATTAATAGACTTTAAGGTGATTGTAAATTTTAGAAACCGGTTTTACCTGTGAAACCTAGAATTGATTTGTCTTATCATAAGGCGGGATACTGGAACCAGGCCCGATTGAATAGCTTCCATCCTCAAAGACGTCCACTAACTTTCTGATGGAATTTAGAGACATACAACGCGCTCTTCCATGAATTTATCTCACTTTAACTTGTCACCGGGGAAGGAGGTCACTGGAATTGTGCCTTTTTGAGTAAAGCGGCTGTAGCATTATTATTCATACTTCTGTACACAAGTCACTCATTCTCGATCTAAATCCAAAATCAACCGATATCAAAACGGCCGGTGATTAGACATCCACCGGACCTCATTCTCATTGACCTATTTGTGAGTAAGTTAAGGAGTAATACAATTAAAAAATGTACTCGGCGATTCATTTTTACAAATATTTTGACACTTCCATTCCATTGCAACCGAAATAAAATATAAACACACGCTTCAGCGAGAAGGCAAAGAAGGAAATTTCTTGTGATCATTTGCAACAAGGAATCGATATTCAGGAGCGAAATTTTATGCAAATAGGTCAATATACTGAGAAAATTGGAATCACATGCGGAAAAACAAACATTTACCCCGGCCCACAAGAAGTGACTCCATGTCCCTCCCTAGTAATAAAGAAAAGTAGTTACGTGAACCGATTTCTAGAAGACTAAAGAGGTCTATAGTTAGAACGTATAAACTTTGTTGAGATTCACTTCTTTTACTAAGATCAGGTTGCATTTGAAAGGGAAATATCAGTCGCTGCCATCAGCTTTTGTGCACCTTCTTTCACGTACTCCTGTTGGTAGTGAGCTAACACTCTCGTTTGAGAGTAAGGGAGTAAGCACTGCTTCCCATCCGTGACTCATAGAAACTGTGGACCCAGCTTAAGTGCCACCGCTTTCCACGCAGCCTGGACCGCTCACATAATGGCTTAGGACCCTGTAGTCAGCTTACCTCATCCTGACCTTTGTATTCAAAAGAAGTTTTGAAAATGTCCTGGCCCGCAGTCCTCACACCAGTGTGCTTCCAAATTCAGTGGACTGTTTCCATACACCGAAATTTTGACCTTTCTCTATCCTCATTACATTGAAGTGTATCCGCATTTTTTGTATCAATTGAAATGTATTAACCAGATGAGCAGTCGCATTAAATATCGTTCCCCCGCTACAACGCATCTTTTGATGTGAAGACACATCCATGCTTTCTGTTGATAAAACATCAATAATATCTTTGTCTCTTGTTAGTGCCCAGCTCAGCTGATAACAATGCATTAACTGACAGCAGTTACTGAATATAGATGAATGCGACCTGGATAAACTCGAACTTCTATACGGTCCCTACATCCAAGAGCCTCACTCTCCAACGCATTTCGTAGTTCTAAGAGAAAACTGGTCTCAAAAAAGATATGTAGTTGGTCAGCCGGTTTCACGGTTGGTTTCAAGAACCGCAACAGATGGTAAACGTATGAAATACTGAACCAGGAACGCGTGTTCCGTATGAGAAGTTTTGGTTGTTAGTTGTGAAGCGGTTGTGAGAAACCAGATGATAGTGGGAGAAGCAGAAAGACACGTTGTACGTTGCCGAATTTCTTGAAACTAAATGTAATTCCGATCTCCACAATTCTTCCTCAGGCCGTGAACAACAGGCTTCGTTAAGAGATAAAACGAATTGAATTGAAATTCCTTTAAAAAGCTCACATCTAGTGTCTTAAGAATATAGTTGCATCTGGAAAATATGCTTTTATTAAGGGAAAAATCAGCCAAGTAAACATGTTGCGCAGGCCTGAATGCAGTCCATAGTTATTCGAGAGGAAAACCGTTCAGTGTTAAACCGGCATCGTCTGGATTAGCGTAAAATTTGTTTTGCTCTAAAGGTGGTTTCTTCAGTCGTCATGTTGATAAAACGCTAGTTACCTTCCCGGTGTTCTTTCTCAAACAAAGCTGCAATGTCATAGTACAGTAGGTGTTCAAAGACACTAATTGGAGACGGGTGTCCAATTCTAGCATACAACTAAACATTGATCTGTATTTTCCACAAACCGACAATTTCTAATCATTCTCTGCCGTGGAAGAAATTGCGGTTGAAATTGTGTCAATCACCCTTGCACAAGGCTCCAAACATCACGACCTCGTTTACATGTTCACAAATAAAATGGTTAGAAACTTCTTAACATAATTGGCTCTTGTAAATAAGTATACGTTTATAAAATTCAGCTGACTATCGCCTCATGGAAAAGCCAAAGCTGCCACCTTCCGAAATGAAGTTTTCTGTAGGCATTAGAAGAATTATACCAGTTTTCCAACTTTCCCCTTATTCCGCAAAGCCGTCACTCAGCTCAAGCTTTTATTTGATAATCATGTATTGTGAAGCTACAAGCTAACCAGCTATTGACCAGGCATCATCCTTACGGAATAACTTTTGGTTACGCAGTTCGCATAAACGCCTTTTCTGGGTGAAAAGCTTCTTTACAAGGCCTACACACACTCACCGGGACGTGAATGCATTTTCCGGAACGCTTATTTTGCCTTTATAACAACGTAGGACCATAAGCTTTCACTATTTAAGACCGTGTAAAACGAATCTACACACATGCAGAAATTCAGTTCACAGATCCACTGCACTAGGCAAATTGGAGTGCAGATGGCGTCTGGCATGTCGGTTCGTTTAAATTTGTCTCCATAGTTAAAAAATCACCCCCATCCTTCTGTGGGTAACGGCAATGAAACAAGTCTTTGCCGCACCTCCCCATTGCTTCCTTCCTCAATTTGACCTACCGACCATTTGGGGGTGTAGCATTCGCCAGACACTTGTGTTAACTTTGCTTTGTATCGCTGAATCAGTGCTCCAAGCCATTGGTCTGGAACCGTCGTCCCACTAGAGTGACGATTCAAAGGCACGTGCGGGCGGAATATGCAGATGGAAGGAAGAATCCATGCAGCGCAAAGAGAAGTAGGGAGTTTTGTCTTGAAATGTCTAATGTTACGCTCACCTGGTTAGTAAATAAATTTCATGAGTCTTAAGGAATTCCCGCGAAATCACCCAGCATCTGCAAATGAGTTGTTCTTAGGAAACCACGCAGTGAGTCTTCTGGTTTTAGAGGTAGGCTTGTATAACTTGACCTGTGAGAGACGAGACCTACATATGTGGCAGACATTTCCTGCATTTAATCTACACTTGAATACGAAAGCTTAAGCAGCCTGATTGATGAATAGGAACACCTAGACCGAAATCTGAACGGCATAATCAATACGACACCAAGATCATCAGTGCGATGGGACATAAGTTCAGTCGATAGACTTCCGTGCACCTAACTGCCGGAGCATGCACCGTATTGGCCGTACCGCGCTAACATTTATTACATCAGCACAAACCAAACGCTTGGCCTAGTCTAGTGGCATATCGACCGATCTTATATGATGCATTTGCCTTTGCTACCCACAGTTAACCCAAAGATGTGGATGGTCTCGACTAGTAGCACAATTCACATAATTTAGAACACTGGATTCAAACTGTAGATCAGTGAATCAAATGCGCCTGCCAGTTTGAAGGATGTTTTGAGCACTTTCTTGTCTTCTGCATAGTAGCAGACAGTCTTCAGATGGATAGATTCTATCTGACTAGCAACTGATGTTGTACCATTCTCGAGTGCAGTAATGTCGACTTGCTCAACAATGATTGTGTCATATTTATAATCTGAGATAAAACCATTATTCCCTACTTTTGGATTTGAACCGATCACTCATATGACTGGATCAGCACATGAAGTAGTTTGTCTAGAGTAATCAGAACAAACTTTCAGTCTCGTGAGAAGTTAAAGCGATCCTAAAATTGTTGAGATGCCGCGGATTCAAACTTTTGTCTGGTTTTACATCCCCGGTTAGAATCTTTTAGCCCATTTTCTAAACCTTAACGAGCGGCAAAGTGAGAACTCGCTAAGAACTTCCTTCTGAATATGAAAGTAATTATTTTGCTGATAAACTAATGCATACATTACCTGCTGTAACTTGCAGCACTTTGTACTCCGTTTAAAGCCCGTGCTTTGCTTGGTATTGAGGAAAGAAGAGAAAGAACAGGTGAGTGCTTGAAGTATAAATACATTTAAATAAGTATTAACAAGTAGTAGCGAGGAAATAATCACTGATGTCTTATGAACGCCAACTAAGCGAAAGCGGATAAAGTAACCAATGAACCGATGCACCGTTATTGGTCACCGCAATGGTCACATTGAATTGTTGATGCACCACGTGCAACTACGCAAGATTCTTTAGTAAACCGTGGCAATTTTAAACATCCTGTTATGAATAAGCTTTGTGTCTGGTCTGCTGAAATCCAAGCCAGTCGTCTGAAACGGCGGTGTCCAGATAACATGCTCACGCTTCACTGCTGACCTTGATGTTGTCACAGACTACTTACACTGACTGCAGCCGTTATTATTAATGTAGGTGGTGGTGGCGCTATTACCGTTGTCGTTGAGTTGCCCCAATGGCGTCGATTCATCAGTATCTGGCGCCATCGTTGTAGTAGGAGGAACAAAGTCATGTGACTGGATTTCATTCCACCTAAATAAGTACGAGCAAGTGATGAAGTGGATTACGCATTTTGAGCAAACATCACTCATCGGATAAGAAAAGAGATAAGCGATGCAATAAATGTGTTTAAAAATCAACGACTGCACCAGAAAATTTGATACTATGGGCATCCCACTGGCCGGGGCCCCGGGGGGATATGAATGAGGATGAATGCTGGAACAGCTATGTATGCAAGCAAGAAAGTCACTGTAGCTAATCCGATTGTATTAGTTAGGTTGTAGCTGTTTTTGATTTGTTTTTGTGGCACTGTGATCAGGAACTTGGCATAGATAGACCACTCGAGTTCAGCTCAGAAATCCAGGGAAAGAGTACNCCACCGCGTTCAGATCAGAAATCCCGGGAAAGAGGACAGCTCTCCACTTAAGGCCCTACCGTTCGTCGGAATGTTGGTCACCTCAAACCGTCCTGTGCCGGCATACTTACTCCTGTTGTGACACACTACCAGTAACTCGAAGTAATATCCAAACAAAACAATGGCCGATCCATCTGATGCAGGCCACAAACAAGCCAGCCAGCTCCAGTTCAGTTGGAAATTCGAAAAGCTGAAACACGACAAGTGGGGTTTTCAAGGACCTGAAAAACAATCTAATTGGCCACGGAAACCAATCGAGGTATGCGGCAAAACGCATTCGAAAAGGAAAACATAACAATTGATGGAAGAGTACTGTTGGTATTTGTGAACATAAGATGAACCATTGTGTCTTGTTATTTGCAACTGGAACAAGCTATGTTACTGAGAAAACACCAGTTTTGCAACTAGGTTGTTTACGTATTGTATTTTTTCTACTTGAATCCCCTTCGTTAAGAACAATAAGATAAATATATTAAAACCCTCAATTGAATGAATCTTTCAGCAAACTGTAAAACTACCCTTTTCGGGTACGTTACTTGCATCCCGTTTCCAGTATGTCAGTATGTTCTTACTACCTCTTCTAGCAATTGCGGCTTTGCGTTGGATGCACAAATATCTTTGTTGAGGGTTTCCCAATCTGGAAGTTTGGGAAACAATTTTCAAACAAGTGTTTTTATGTATCTTGGTGTCATTCAACTTCCTGTAATATTAATAATATCCTGACAAAGAAGAACGTGCTACCATCTCATTTATCTATTTCCTTTACGCATAGTTGTTTCTTGATAGCCACAATCAGCAGGTCAAAATTTCAGTTTTTATCAAAAGGTTGGTAATAAAATCCACAAACAACTGGACATTTACACCTATTGGAGGAATCGAGACAGTTCATTTGGTTTATTACTCAATCTTGTTAGAAATAGCTTAAGTTCGGTGCACCTTCTTGGTTAAAAATGTCCACTTTTTGAAGTAAAACCACGCCGTATTTCTACTCCACCTGCAAGTGGCGGCTGCCTGCCGGTGAAACATCCTACTGAGTATGACTGATTTTCTAATACCAGAAACGTTGGGAGATTTAGTAAGGTATCTTTTCAGCACTCCGGGTTCCGATGGACAGTTTAGTTCAGAGTGTTTAGTTCTGGTGTCATCACCCACAATATTACACTCACTCTCTCAAGACCATGATTTGCATTCAAAACTACGGTCACCACGGTTAGAAATGTTCAACTGCCCTCGGTCAGTTACCATCTTTACTCGGTATAATAAATTTCCCTCTGCTCTGTCGCGGAATAAGTGAATCCAATCTGTTTGGTCCGTTGGACCTGAAAATAAGTATGAATTTTTAATCACAACATGAGGCTTGACTTTATTTTGGACAGTACAACGAAAACGGTGATGAAACAAATGCTCGGTACTCCCCATTTTGAGCAATACCTCATCGATTTGCTTCACAAAGTGCCTCACAAACAAGAATTAAGATTTTGACCATCAAAATTACAATTGAATCCGAAAATCGAAATTGCCTCCTTATTTTGAATTCGTGCTATCAGGCAAATGGGATGCTTTGTGTAAATTCAAGGTCTGATTATGTCATCGAAAATCTGACTGACTTTATTTTGACGCACGTTTTGTTGGCTAAAACTAAGCGCATTCCCGTTGACTATCCCTTCGCCTTTTATATGGGCCTTCACAGAAGGAAAGTTGTTCGAACGAATTCGGAGCACTTATAGAACTGAGTGAAGTACAATATTAATAAAATATATACGTATATAACACATTAACCATTGTCCGCAAATAGACACGGTTGCCGTGTTAATCAATACCCACATGGCCAACCACGTACGAGTATCTGCCTTGAATCGTAAATATGTGGATGACACAGAGAATCAAAGAATATTTCGAAGGTGGTTAACAATGAACATCTCTCACTCCCTATCACCTTTGAATCCGAACGAGAGGCTTAGTCGGTATTCCTAGATGCACTGTTTCAAGGACGATACGTTTTGCAAAGCTGATAATTAAATACAGAGCAACGCATACGGAACACAGCTGGAAGAAAATACCTCCGTGTTTTCAACGCACTTGATAATGAAAACTATCCTGATATAGAGTTTAGAACCGTATTAGAGCAACTGCATCAACGGCGACTGGGTCAGGATCTAAAATAGCAATGGGAAAATTAATTTGAAGGATAAATTACAAAAATCACGCCTGCAACTATCCTGCCAACCGTCCCTGGTTGAATGGTCCAGTCTTCAACTAATAGCCGGAAGGTAGCGAGCCCCAACCTCCCTGGAGATCCATGAGATGCGCATTGGCCGTGATTCCAGTAAAAATAAAACAACTGCCGGCTTTTTGATATAAGATAAGGGATCGAGAAAAAGATTAATTTACTAGCTGTCTTCATCCTAGCAGCGTAATTCAAGCAGATGTATTCTCCACTCTAAATTTCACCAAGACTACTTATACCTTATCAGCAGACTTCCAAGGATTTTCAAAACTATCATGATAGCCATGAGATCCAGTTGTTCTTACTAAGCAACCTAACAAATAATACCGATAATACTAACTATTTTTCCCGTTGCTAAATTGTTTTTGTCTTTTTAGTGATTTTGGGTCTCTAAACAGGTTGAATGACATTCAGTAGGTTTATTTCTCGTTGTAAATGAAGCAGAAATAAACTCGCACCACTGAATGTACGTTGACAACGTTGTTCTTTGTAATTCAATGAAGTATTATGAAGAGTTAGAGCCAGAGTGTTATAGTCAGGACAATTTTTTCCTTCGAGGTTGCACTTACACTCATGGAGAAAAGGAGTCAGTCGACAACATTTTGATATGCTAATCTTGCAGTTTGTTTTCTGTCACTCTAAGGACATAGTCCTCTTCATGATATATTTTGAACAACACATATAACTCTTATCCAGTAGCAACTAAGTATAAGTGATTTAATTGGCCACTTCCAGGCCAACCGAACGTCACCTGATATGGCTGATCGATCACTCGCCCTTGCTAGCCTGTACATTGCATCTGCTATGGATGCACCCGAATTTTTCTAAAACCTAATTAAATGGAAGAAACAGAATGTTCTTTTGTGTCAAAGATATTGATGGCCTTGGCAAACTCATTTTGAATAACGCAATTTATGTTGTGTAACTCAGTATACTGACAACTACCAAAGTGCTTTTGAGCGCACCAGACATTTCAGTTTCCAACTCAGTGGCCATAATTCCCAATGTGTTTTCCGTAGCTATTGACCTCTAAGCGGAAAACATACGCACCGAAAACTTGCGTTAATTTGTTGCACTGATCTACACGTGAATTGATATTTGCACAACACAATAAGGATTTTTTAAGGAACCAGATAGGTGTAATTTTGAAAATCGGATACATCCTTTAGAGACACATCCAATTTATGGTGGCGAGTTACGCTGCTATGATGTGAAATTGGAAGTCGTAAATTTTTCATACGAAACAGCAAATGTTGACGGCTAACAATCATACCGAATTAAGAATCAAAGTATCCCTCATCTTTACATGTTGTTCTGTTCAAAAGTTCTTGCGCACATGCATCGAATTGTACCAGTTCCAATGTTCTCGTTCTCACCAACTTCGCAGCTTCTATACCGGAGTCATTTTAGAAATGTTGCAACACATTGTGATGATCGCATCGGTTATTTACATTGGTTGACCGAGTTTATCCGTTAGTTGGCCGATGAGGTGAGCCAATGATGCACCAATTTTTCACGTCGCTTTTTGACTGAATCGACCGAGTATCGGTTAATGATCGTCCGATTCCTACTCAATTCGTCGTTATTGTCTGAGGTAACATCTATTGTCTCCAATCATATTCCAGTATGAAGTGGTTGCGTATAAGGTGTTACGAGATATACATGTAGGAGATGTACACATATGAGATTGGACTCTTCAAAACACATATCACAACAGTAACTACGAAGTCAAAACTCTGCACGATCAGTTTGAACGCGTCCAGTAGATGTAAATATCATCCGAAATCCTGAGCATCTCTACTTGGCATGCATTGCCATGTGCATAGAAGCTCCGTTTGAAAGTTCTATCATCTCGGCAATAAACCACTTAGAACAAAAGAATGTTGCGGGTCAAAACTCCCCGATAGGTCGTCCACACTTAAAACCAAAATATAGTGTCATAGACTGCACAGCACAGTAATCCGCTTGGTTTGTTTTCAATAGATCTTTTCCTCACCAGGCTTTCCAGGCATCCATTAGTATTAAATTCCTGGAAAGAATGCAAATGGAATATAGACATTTATTTAATAAGTAACAAAATGTATTACACAGAATAACGCCGAACAAGAACAGTAGATTTTCCGCAGCCATTCTAGTCACGAATTTTCATCAAAGCCTGTGCCTGATGTTACAACTAAAAGCTCTGGCTAAAAATTGCCCGACGTTTACGCTTTTTCGTGTGCCTTACATCTATTTTAGGGACAATCCCTATGGTCACCAATCAGGATGTTTTCTATATTGCTTAAAATCACTTATCTCGTCCCACCGATAAATCGAAATTCGCAGTCTGAAAACAGTCTGTAAATCAAAACTGTCATCAACCCGTCAGGACACTTTTATTTAATAGGAAATTTGGCGCCTTAACCGGAGAAATATTTGGTGTGCTTGACACACTTTACACCTGCAAGAGGAAAACAGATGACACGAAATGCCGTTTCTGAACAGTCTTCACTGACAATCCACGCAGCTTCGTGCTGTAGCACGGAAAATGGAAAAATAATACATGATTTGGAAAGCGTATCTGACTTTCAGAGGTATACAATTAATCTGTCGGGAAATCGAACAAAACGCATTCAACGTAGCATAGTTGTCTAAGGTAGGACACAATTAAAGTGGTAGTAAACGTTGGCATTCTCTCTAGTCTTATTCCAATTCACTCCGGATGCTGCGTATAGTATCCTCGAAGTACGGCATCGATTCGGCATAGGGCGAGTGCTTTTAGAATATTGGAGAATGCCTGGTTACTAAGTAGCTGAGCTGATCCCACATAACAATGACATTCTGATCACTGTGACCAGATAAATTCCAAACAATACCTACCAATTAAAAAAATACTGAGATATCACTAGTTAGGACTGATTTCTATCTACCACATGTAACATTTTTTGATGGTGTCGAATTTTAGATAACGAAATAGCTACTTAATTCAGCGCCCATGATAGAGTTTCTTTTGCACATCAATGGGAGAGCAGAACGTCAAACCTAATGTACAGATATCAAGACCACTTTCACTATTCCTTGACTTGATATTCAAAGAAACATTATGAGAAACATGTCGGTAAAGACAAAATTGACTGTTTTTATAAACCAAACACTGATCAGATAAAACAACTATCCCCAATCCTGATCTGAAATGGGTTTTGGGACTTTGATTTTCAAAACAATGACGCAAAGAAGAGAAGACTACTTCAATCTCCTTTTTCATCTTGACAGATTAAGTTAACCGGCAAAATATATGGTTAACTGTAAAGTTGCTGCCTTAAAAAGATCACTGCCTTGTAAATGTTTGAATCTAATGAGATCGATTAACGCAAAATGGACTAGTTTCTATCACACACAAATTCTAGGTAAATATGCCAGGAATTAAGTGATTTTTGGTTTACGGAAGCCTGTCATAGGAGTTTCAAGGGGTTTTTGTAGTATATGATGCATCCCAAGAAGACACAACAATGAATATCACATGCCATGTAATACTACACAAACTCTACTATCCAATGAGATAATGAAACGTGGAAGCTTGTGACTTGATACGGTCTTCCTGTTGCTCAACATGCCACATGATATTATTTCTTACTAGTAAAGTGTTCTGTAGTCATCGCCTGAGCGGTCTTGCATCTAAGCGACAGTCTTATGGCCAAAACGCCCCAGTTATGTCCCAGTTTACCTCTGGCTCTGACCAACTATCAAAAGCACCCTGTGCACACAGCCATAGTTAAATTTGACTTCTTAAGAACCATTCCTCAGGGAACGTGGAATTTCGAACTACTGGTGTGCGCTTTCACAGTGGATATCCCCAACGTCTAGCCTTTTTCCTACCGGGAATCGCCACCATATGTATCACTGTGGAAATAGCAACAACTCTATGGTTCCACCATAAGCCAGTTACTCGGGCTTTATTGGGCGCTTTCAAAGCACAAATATGGATACCTTGGCGTAATCTTGCATTGCTGCCAGACACGCCATCTGTACATTGGGCTTCCAGCACATAAAAAAAATAAGGCGACTAACACTCAAACTGCAGACACGCCATCTGTACATTGGGCTTCCAGCACATAAAAAAATAAGGCGACTAACCACTCAAACTGCTCCAAAATTTTCACCTTGAAAGGCGTGCATTGCACATACTTTTGCTGGTGCTTCCCAAAAGGCTACTCATTATAGGCAAATATTTACGGTGAGCTTGATCTTTAGACGTCAGAAGGGAGCATTATTAAATTTGTAACCCTGTCGGTTCGAATTGTAACTGTTTTCCTAACCTGGTCGGTTTGTCAAATTTCATATTTACATTTCTTGGATCTAAGCACTTGGGCAGGTTTTAAGCTTTGAAACTGGTAACACAAATCAGACGGACTATCCTAGTCTAACCATGCTTCTCGTGGTTGTTTTGCGCTGCTAGCCTGTCGGAATTATTATTGCAAAAAAGTCATCGATTTCATCTCAGGATGACCCTGTGAATGAACTTAACTGAGTCGTCAAGAAAAGATAATCGAAATTTCTTTGGGGCGCTTTTCTTTGAAGAACGATATGTGCTGGTCGGCTGTTTTTAGAGTGCTTGCCATATCAATATACGTCAGACCTGAAGAGCTTTGGAGGGTAGGCATTCTTAAATTCCTACTTCTGCAACAATTTTTTATAACGCTAATTGTCCTGAAATATAATGAAATCAAGGACGAAAACTACGCGCTTTAGTCCTTGCCATGGACAGAAGCAGCTACTCTAAGGTATACAAGATACCACTCACTAAATGACGGGAGTAATCGCCTCGGAAACCATGGGTTTCAGGCCGAAATAAGTGGAGCTCCTGTAAAACGGTTTGGCTTATTTAGGTTAGTCTCCCTCCAAGGTTCTTTCTTTAGTAAACACCTTACTAGTGTTAGCAAGTGCTTGTAGGACAACATTATTTTCGACATATTTAGGCGCTCAAAGGGTGCAGTGACGCATGGATCAGCGGATAAATCTTCGATGAATGCATTACTTTTTTGAATTTTTTACTTGATGTTAACAATAAAAGTAGTGCGCTCTGTTATTCTGCGAGAGGGGGGCCTGTGGGAGGAACAATTAAATTGGTCTTTCTTGACCTAACGCACTACTCATAAGTGACACTGGAGACCGATACAAAGCACGTTGCAGATTTTTCTCTTCTTGGGCCCCTCAGGCGTAACCTCCGAGTATTCAGCATCCTTATGTTATCCTTGAACTCCAAATTGTACGCAGGTGGTGAAATAGGCTCCCTTTCAAACTATTTGTATGTTAACGAAAGGCACCAGTGAACCTCCAGTCAATGGGATTTTCAGCTTCATATACTGCTGTTAAGGTTGTTGTGATATCCTGGATATTGCTGCATATTGCCTTGACGGACCACTCTGCTTTTGGGGTCCAGTTGGGCAGGAAAGTTAAGTTAGGAAGACTGCGAGCAAAACATTCAGTTGCGTCTCTCCATTTACAGGGAATAATCAGTAAATTAGTGTTTCTAACACTGTGTGCGTGGAAAGTTAGTGGCAGGCTATCATCAGATTTCGTTTAGGGGACGAAGCATGCGGGATCTACTCAAGAATGGTTTTATTTTTGAGGTCATTGCTCGGGATATAAGTTGATGCACAAACCAAAGGATTGATTAAAAGCCTTGAACAAACAATGGAGCATGATCTTCTCTGATTTCGAAGAAATGCAACTCCTTGTGTGGACAACATCAAGAACAATTATGAATACATTTATTATCATTTTCCTGATGTGTCCTTTGTTTGACGTATGCAACGTAAGCAACAATGGTTAATAGTACAGCAAACCACAAAAGTTCATTTGTCCCGGTCATTTTCGTTATGACGAATAACCTCTCCGTTGCAGGCGTGAAAAGGTCCCTTGAGTACTTGAGTTATCACCTTATTGCCAAAGCGCAGTACGTCAGCAATCATTTGTCTTTGTTGGCCTTTAATGGCTGAGTAGAATTCATCCACCAAACCCTAAGTAGCTTACGGAATAAGGTCTGACCGCGGATGTCATTTAAATCTAACGAGTGCTTTGCTTTTAATGGCGGGCCAATACGTGGATCTAGGGTGCTTTCTGCTTCCTCGCCAGTAAAACTTTCTACCTCTGAGATTCGCGTGTTTTTCAGGTACAGTTTTAATGTGGTGATAATTGCTTTATAACATTCTCCTCTCAGAGCCGAGACGTTTGCCCTACTTGCAAAGGTACAAGAACCCGCGTGTTTTCAATATTTTTTCGATGTAATTAGTCGCAGTTTTCTCTGGTTTTAAATGACTCCGTCCGCATAATTGGGGTAGACGCCATCGGAGAAAAGTCACTTGCGCACGACTCCTTGTTGGAAAACTGCGATGTATTCACGAACAACCTTTATTTTACTCAAGATAAATCTCAAGATTCTAGCAAGTTGATAGTGCGTTCATGTACTTACGGTATGTTTGTACACAGAACGCAAAACTCATTTTTCAGGAGGTACGATTTCTTTCTTCTAATCCACCAGATGTGTCTTGATGGGATGAGTTGACAAAAGGCGACTAATGCTGTTTAAGTGCTCAGAATCCGACCAAAGTTTGAGCTTAATAACCCAAACAGAAGCACATTTTGCTGTTTACTAAGTGCTATACCTTCCCCGAGATCCCGCATGCAACAACCTATTGTTGAGGATTTACGTTGTTGTCCTTGGCTTTGAAAACAAAATTAAAACAGAACCTATCCCTCAAATGCAGCTTTCCCTCAAGCTGTTAAGTATTTTACCCTGTTATTTGAAGGTGAGCTTTGAGCCGTAAATCAAATGAACTTCAAATATACGCAGAATACTAGTTAAGTTTTGGCTGGCCAGCAGTTGGCCACCAATTAGATTTTTCTTGGGAGTACGTTAGGCCAAGCGCATAAATGATAATGAGAACTGCACTTTTTGTTCCCCTACAAAAGCGATAATGTTTTTCTCTCGGATATGGTGGAATGTTCAAATCGAGAGATTGACCTCTAAGGTCTTAAAAGTCCATAGAGAGTTCTGAAGCATCGAAATACTATCTCTTTGGAGATGGGTTGTGTACTGTGAGCTCTTCCAAAGAAACAAACGTGGCTAATTCTCACCTGTCTTTGACATCCGTAAAATGTACCGTCACAACTCAATTGTTTATCTAGTTAATTACAGTTGCGAACCACTAATAAACTGCTTTTTTATTCACAGATACCACCAGAAAAAAACAACCATATTCTGTTATGTAAAAAACAGACCTGATGGGCAACCACTCTTCCGTCTCGCGGCAGGTTGCACATGAAATTCGCTGAAAACAATTTATGTTTAGCTTTCAGACTAATGTCCGACTCCTTACGGTGGTTGCCAAAGTAGTTGAAAATAGTTTGTTTCTTGTGGCTTTGCTGCCTGATTATGTAATCAGGAACATGCCAACTCTTTAACCCAATTTGAATTATATTTCATGAGTTGCGAGATGTCTAGATTTGGACTTCAGTTACTATCATAAATTGAGAGCTACCTGATAACTTCTGTTCTAAAGAACAAACGAACTTGAATGGCGCCACCGATAAAAGGTCAAAGCAAACGATGGATATAAACTGTTCGTTTTGACTGAGGTTTTTTCACGTGGAGATCCTAAAAAATGACCAGATACGCCAATGACAAGCTTACTACAAACACACCTTTCTTCCCTTTTAGGAGACATGGTGACGGAATATTTTAGTCCCTGGTTTCATATTAACCAGCGAAAGTGATAAATTAAAGGCACCGTAATTAAAGATAGATGACCCTCTGGTTTCTAAAAAACTGATAAATTTATCCCCGCCGTCTTTTGTTTACTCGATGGTTTTCGCGCCTGTGGTACTACAGACGATAGCATATATATCTCAGAGATTAGCTCGTTTGTCGTAACAGTACTTGGTAACAACGGTTTCTGTTCATATTCGACTAATGCGTTTATTTTGCTACGGCCGAAATTCGTTTGCAAGGTACTGTAAAAGAACTATGTCTGCGTCGAGAACAAGGACTGAAATTAAGCCAAAATTGAAATGATTTATCTCTGAAAGACTTCGACAACTTGTCATTCATTTACCAGCTACCCAGCTATCCGTCTTTAGAAATAACCACATGAATGGATGAATTACTCATGCAGTCTGAGGTATCTTAATACATATTGTTTCTTGAGAAACAAAACATATGCTAATGATCCAGGAACTTGTTTTATTCCACAATCTGAATGCTATTTTAACTTGCCCTGTTTCCACTGGAGTGTTTCTTTTCTCAGTGGCACTTTGTTAAGAAACACAAATTTTTATGTAGGCTCTACAACTGAAGATGGATAGAAGCACCATGGATCTACGAGACCATTTCTGTTTAATTCAATTTGCCACCTAACTACTATCAACAATGGTGATCGCATTGTTAAACACCTTGCTTGTAACTACTCTTCTGCTTAATGAACTAATTTCCCATTTACTGGCAACAGAGATTTTCTCCGAGCGAACATGGCCACCCTATTGATATCTCATATTATCTGTGTCGTTCAGTCGCATAAATGAGACCATCACTTAATCATCCCCAACCAAGCATCTTGTTGTCACGTTGTTATCAGATTACGTCACTGAATGATGTTTCCCATGGGGAATCCAGATACACAAAGCTGGTGCACCAGATATATGCTACCAGAGTTTGTCTGTGTTACTTGGCGTTGTAGGCGTTTGGCTAGCAATGCTCCAACTCGGACAGATTTGGCTGATTAGGACTGAAAGTATCTGCATTCTCGCGAAAAATTCACTCCCGAGCAACAGCGCTATTTGTGAATGTTTATTATATGTCCACATATCTGATAATTTCCTATCCAGTATTTCATGTGTCGCCAAAGACAAGTAACGATCTGTGTCTACAACAAAGGATAAGAGAATAGAGGCCTAATCAATCAACACAATAGCTTTATCAGACAGATTTTCGGCTGTGCTTTATGAGGTTGCTTTTGAGTATTGTTAAGCACTTAATAATCTTGTCTTATCTGCATGTCTCACTTTGTTAGCTACAGGAATCTATGGATAATGTGATTAACACCGCCTCATTGAAAGCATTTACGTCTGTAATATATCACTTGGGAGCCAACAGTAGCTTGGATTTATTCCTTTGGCGTTTTTAGTAGCAAACGTTGGTCTTCCCGGTGATGTCTTCGACGAAGTCAATGTTGAGTTAGGGACCGCATTAATTGGCAAGAGATGTTCATCCACTTCACATCTTACACCCGACTAAGTGAAAGGAGGGCTGAACGGACGCTTGGTCTTAGAGAGTGGAGCACTATTTATGGGCTAAGAAGCAAAAAAGTCCGGTTTCTAGAAATAAATCTTCATTCTAAGCCCCTACGTTTCTGTGTTTTTTTCTGTTGGGGTTTTTTGCTATTGAGCTTTGCGAATATCATTCTATCTGACCAAGAGCTATGACAAATATGCACACGGGGACTTCCAATTCATTGTTATGCAAAAGATGAGTTGTCCGTCTTCATTTGGAGTTGAAACAATAATTAGACATCTTCAGTGAAGTTTTGATTGCCCCATGAACGATGAACAGCATGTACCTTCAAAATAGGATACTTTGGAGCAGACCGTATCCTATCTGTCACAATAAACAATTCAACCCAGCATATTGTGTGTTTTATACTGATGTCAAGAGATTAAACTCTCACATGGTTTTGCTCGTAGCAGCACATCAAATTGGTCTGACATTTACATGACAAAACTAGCCACGAACTCGATGTATTTCGATCTTGTGTGGCAATATTTAGAACCCCTGACGCCTAATAAATTTTACCGAACCTACAGTAGAACTGGAATGATAAGGCAGTACAGTGTCAAAGATAAACGCTGATGCCTCTGAACATTTTGGTGATCAGGTTACACAAATTTTAGGCTGAAAGTCTTTGAGGTATAATTAACTGACACCTTATCTGGCTGAACTTTGTCAAAATAACAGAACATTATGTGTAGAGTTCACCTTAGCAAGTATAAAGGGTACCGCAAAGGTAGTCTAATCCGCACCAAGACCATGGAATATGGCTTACACAACAAACAGGCAGGGAGTTAAATTTTGATTTGGACACAATCTTACCAAACTCGCGTTTATATTGTGTGGATAAATAAAAAAGATAGGGAAAATTACGTCTGAACAACCAAAAACCTTCTGAAAAGTTGCTTACCGGACGACTACTATAGAATTTTATATGGAACGAAGACAGTTTGCAAACACAAGGCAATGCAAACAGCGCTGAACAAATCAGGCAGGTCTGGCGAATCATGATGTGAATTCTGTGACAAGGGATGGGCGACCGTAGATGTGGGTGCACGATGTGATGCCACACAAAAAATAGAATAAGAATGGGTTTTAGATAAGATATGAAATTACTTGAATTTCCGATTTTATCCTTATCAGGTTTAGCAAACTTTGAACATCACAAATTTCCTATCATGAAACCAGAGGGTCTAGGACCTGACACCAAAAAACGTTTTTCTGTGCAGAGAGTGATTCTTATTTCATCGATCTGAATCCGAAATTACCACAACCCCATAAGAAAATTGGAAAGAAAATTGCCTAACGGTCTACTAAAACAATGGTAACCAGAAGAAGCCAGTAGTGAAGCTCCTGTCTATTTTCTAAACAAAAAGACCATTATCACCTATCGCTTATTAAGTTTGGAAATAACATTTTTCTTCCTAATTCACAACCACAAGCTAGTCATCAAATTAGGTCCGCTGGGATAGTTTGCGATTTTTGATATTCTTGCTCTTCTATGTTGGGAGACTGCGAGGCTAGAGGTCTGTTAGACAAACCAGTCAGATAAGAGTGTTCAAACTATCTCTCTTGATTGTGCAGCATCTGTTTAACCAACTCATCCATTATGCACAATGGGTCTAGTTAAGTTTCACTTCAACTATTTTGTCCTGACGTTTGGGACATTAAGTACGGACTTCTCCATGCCAAGTCTAAACAACGTGCAGAAAATCAATACACTAGCCTATGCTCTCAAAATGTGCGGTAAACACAAAAGACTTGACACATTAAGCAGTAAAAGGTGACAGCACCAATGTCCTCTTAATTTTTAGCTGATGCGGGCTGCGGGCAAATATTGGATGGTACGTGCTTTGAAGCGAAAAAACTCATGGATCCCTTTTATTTTTTGGGGGCGATTTCCATGATTCCGTGACTTTCAAAGGCCATTATATCTTTGTAGTCCCTAAATCATGAGCCGCAGTTTTTTGGTCTAGGTTTTTACTTATAAACCTGTGTGCATTCTACAATCCACTGTTGGTTTATATCGCCTTCACTGTGTCGCATGATTCACCGCGTTCAGTTGCCTCTTAACTTGGGGTGTTCACCCAGCCTGGATCAACTTGGGGCCCTATTGGGCTCATTTTCCTGCTAAGAGCGCTGGAACTAGGGACACTGCTGAATCCCCAGCCAATAGCTTATTTATTTACAGCTTGCAGACCGTGAGGATACTCACTAAAATCTTGTTTGTCTTATCTAATGAGTGTGAAACGGTTCGTTTAAAGAGCTCAGTACAAGTTACTCGTATCTTGAAGCTCATGTGATTGACTGACTCATCGAAAAGCTAAAGAAACAAATTTCTGGCCTAAACAGTAACTTTTCCCTTGATCTACGTCAATCAGCTGCCTAAAAAAACGGACACATTCAAACCAACCGCTTCTTAAGTCGGAGCTTGAAATTCTGAGCTTCCAGAAACCATGTCCATCTGAAGAACCTTTGGCAGAAAAAGGTCTTCACTGAGCTGTCTGTGGATTATCAGCAACCGTGTCATATTACTTACAAAAACGTATTACTTGTTTGGTGCTGTTCAAATTGGCAGGCACTTGGCTACCGGTTTTTCTCTGTTAAATCTCTATACTCACCGAAAGCTGATAAAAAACAATCCCCGATTTGTGATCCGATTTTGTGAACAGTTCCATTTTAAGCGTTTTGCTTCAGAGAGTTCAAACTAACCATAGCTTTAAAATCTGGCGTTAGGTTATTTTCAGTCTCTCATTTGACTTGTTTTGAAATTAACTGATGAGAGCCCCGATTCGAGGCATATCTTCTGCTTACCAATGACTGTTTTGCTTTCATAAATTGGCAGTACTACTCATTTTGCTTCCCAAATGAAAATGTCAATGAGAAGTCCTTAATGGCCTCGACGACATCGCCAGAAAGTATCACAAGGTTCATACCACTTTATTGAGTGCCAGCATGACTGAGGGTCACAAGTCTCGTCGAGTGCTGTATTGATATGGCCGTAACTAAGAACGAATATTATTTAAGAAGCTGGAAACTAAAAAGAATGAACCATCATCCGCGGTATCACATATATGTGTTGATGTTCCGTTAACGGAAAGAAAATTTAGGGTGAATTATGACCGAAGATATGTGACTACCACTCATTTATTCCAAAAGTGTAACAGACAGAAAAATTTAAACGAAACTACTGAGCATTCTGTGATCCTGTTACTAGTTATGTTCACTTGCGTACGCATTAACTTTTAGACCAATGCCAGAGAAAAAACATATATTTTCGGATCCAGTCTTCCTGTTAATAATCTCTTAATGAGGAATCATGGAAACAAAATGCCAAAAAACACAAACATACGAATTGGAAACGCATAATTTACTAAACATATGAAGTCAAACTCCCCTGTGCCATCCCTCCACTGACCAGAGTTTGAAGCTCGCAAGTTTGAATTGCGGTAAAATTTGTGATTCATTCACCTGTCCACTTTAGATACCGACCCGAGGATAGTGTTCAAAATTTAAAATTTTTAATTTTTTGAGCATAAGCAACAAACAATAAATGGCCGCGGAAGTCCTGGGCAACTGTATGTATTTACTAGGTCTCAGTGAAGGCGCGAAAATTTGTCTACTATTAAGAAAGCCGTGAAAAAGTTTAACTTCTGCTTTCCAAAAAAATCAGCTCTCGTGGTGCTTAGAAACAAACAAAAATATATTGAGCGGGTCCAGTATATCTGACTAGAGCTCTCGAATGCTGTTAATCTTTTGCGAATTTTATCCCATTGCTTACTTCTACCAACGGTTCAGTTACTCTTAGGCTAGAAAGTTCCAGTCAGTCAAATTCAGTGATACGCACAAGTGAGATAGGCATTGTTGATGCCTGATGTATCAAGAAAAGCTGACTTATTACTACCTGCAACAGAATGTCTCCAGGGTTGTTTGAACTTGTCGCTCTCTACAGCACTTGAACGTTTCAAGTGGAGTTTGAAGGCTCATCTGCAATTTTTTTAGCAATAGCTCGCAAATAAACACATCAGTATGCAAGAAAACACAGGTATAATTTTACGATTTCAAAACGCCACAGAATACATACGCAAGGGAAGTTACCATGGAGGACACGTAAATGAGAACTCGTCTGTACAACTCACGCGGTAATCAGTATATCTTGATGCATGAGAAAAGTGTCAGCTATATATTCCATGATGTCCCGTTTGACAAATATGCCTATGTAAGTTCAGTCGGAGAACTCCGTTCAAAGACCGGATGCGGTCTCATGGGTATTATTGGACGTCCGTAGGGTATACCTGCTGCTCCAAGACCAGCCAACACCAATCTCTTTAAAGCTTTTTTTTCTTGTTTTGGATGTCCACAATAAATAAGACTCCGGAATGCTTTCCGTAATTCCTCCGAGGAATAGCCGACAACGAAAGGATTGAGAGCAGTGAGACAAAATCGAGCCCAAAACGTTATCGCAAATGTCGGATAAGTAATCAGTTCTTTGGGAGACCATATTTCAATGATTTGAACGAAAAAGAATGGTAACCATCCGACAAAGTATATTAAAACATTCAGTAACATTTGCATAACCGCTTTGCACTCTCTCCTTATGCGAACATCTGTCTGATTTTGTGGAGCCTCACAGGTAATCGATGGAGTGTTTGAGTGAGGTATTGTTGTCACCAACTGAGGAGCATCTGATGCGGTTACTGTCAAATTGTTTTCATGTATCTCTCCGCTTACTGATCGGTTGACTCGTGGCTGGATAGGCATTAGTGCGCACCGTCGGAATGATCTCAGATTAGAAAACTCAGAATCACTTTTTCGAGTGATATTTCTACCGTAAGGCCATTTCGATGGCTTAAGGAAAAAGCTTGATTGAGAATCAGCTGAGCTGCGTGCTGAATTTGCCGTCCCACCGCGCCCAGCAGTTCTGCTGTCATACACGTCCAAATGGGTACCAGATGAGGGTAACACATTGAGACTGGTAGAGCTACGATGCCTCCCGGGGTTTTTTGTCTCACCGCACTGCATCTTTGCTCCAGTCCCATCACCTTCGTTTTCTTTTTGGCTGCCTAGTTGGCTCTCATTCATCCGCTTTGGAAGCGAGGCTGCGACTATAAGAAATCCACACTTTACTGTTCCGGGGATATAAGAGAACATTTTCGATTCTTCTTTTTTACTTTTCTCCGCATTTACTTTCATATAACACGGCTGACCACCAATGTGTATTCGCATGCTTGATATAGGCCGTTCCGATGACTTTGCAGCTTCTTGCCCAGTGACTGCATTCGCAGAATTTTTCAAGCGGGAAATTTCATCTTTTTCCTGAATTATACCAGTGGACTGGCCACGGACGTTTTGAATTACTCTGCTGCAAACTTTGGAATAACTGTACACCGACACGCTCGCCGGAATACACCAACACAACAGAGCTTGATATGTTCTAAGTAGTGTACCACTGTTGCGCATGCTGCAAAATGAATAATAAACAGTGTCTCCCGATTTCATGATCACACTGAAGTCGAATAGGGTAAACACAGGCAGGCTGAGAATAAATGCCATATTCCATGGAATCAGTAGCGCACTCAATGTGCGATTACCGGACATGAGGTGATTGTAGCGCAGTGCAAAGCACACCCCAAGAAACCGATCAACGGCAATCACAGCTAGGCTGTAAGTACTTGCGGTAGAAAAAAAGACATCTAGTCCCAAGCAGATTCGGCAAAAATTAAACGTTCCCACTGTCAAGGAGACGTGAAAAATCTCATTTCCAATCGCTGGTCCGAAGACAAATATACCGAGACATAAATCTGCGACAGCCAAATTGATCAACAATTTTCTGGTTGCTGTGAAACGGGCCCGGTTTCCGTGTGAAAGGGAGATGATGACAAACATATTCGAACAAATAATTAATAAATCCAGTAGTCCGAGGACGGAGGCTAGGATGTAATTTTCCACTTTGTCTGTTGCATTATTACTCGCGTTTAACATCATACTGCGTTCAACGCTTGGGATTGTGTGTTAAAATGAAGCGCCTTACATAGTACTGCTTCATTTGGGATACGAATAAGCTCTGAACGACAGGTGCTCTGTTTCCTCCCAAATATATGAACACGAAAGTGAACTGCAGTTCGGGAAGAAATTTCTCGGTTGCTATTGGTTTATAGGTATAGACAGCAACTGCGGGCAAATCAACCACTCTAGTTCCGGTCTAAAGCTCATTCAAACCAGTCAAGCGAACAGCGCTAGAATTTATCGCTGGTGTGTAAAAGCACACCCTGTGAATTGCAAAAGTCACACATTAATTCATTTCCAGAAAGTACCAAAGCGAAGTCTCACACCTAATCCTGGATTTCCTTTCCTGTCAACAGCAACGAAAACTTCTTTGTCCGATAAAGATAAACGATTTATTGTTCTAAGACAAGATGGACCGTAAAGCTCCCTGATGATTGCTAATAAGTGATACCATATAACTTTTTTCGTGAGTTTGTTACAAGCGTCGGACATTAGGGTCACGTATTTGTCCAACATGTGTCTTGGGTCCAGCACGTTTTGGCGAACGTAACTTAATCGAAACAGGTCTAACACATTGGAAAAGAACAAGCGATCGTTACGTACAGTCAGGAGATGGTTGACTAGTTTGTGAAAGAGTAGACAGACTCTTACGGAAACCAAAACACATTACCAAAATAACCAAAATGCAGGTGGTAGTGCGTGATTTGATGGGTATTACAATAGCAATTGCCTCTCTTGAAGGTTGTTTTGACTGTTCTCTTTTCTTTCCGGCTGGTCACATTTGTTACTCGTGCGACATACTGTCATGCCCAAGCTAGCTAATGATAATTTGGGGGCCTAAAATTTAGCCGATCATATACATTTACTTCTGTCCATCTATAGACTCTTCTCTTTTAGTTTGCTGTGAGCAGAATTCTTTTTTAATTACTCAAAAGTTCATTGGGTTTTGAGACTGGAGGATAAAATTTCGTAACTCTGATTTTACCGGCAAATGGTTGCCAGGAGCAACGTTTTGGTTTCTCTCGAGCAAATCTCCTGTCTAGTTTTTGGTGGAGCATACAACTTTATGGTCCTGGCGTTAGGACGAAGTATTGAAAGATGTACTATTCTGTGAAGACGATAAGGGCAAACTGCTATCGTTAAAAGTTAAACAAACTAGATTCTCCCTGTTTGAACTTCACTTATGTGGAATTGATGGGCTGCATTCGTTTTTGCTAGCTTAGTAAAGATGAGGTGAAACCACGCAATGAGAAAGTGCAGAGATTAACACAGCTATAAACTGGCTTGGACCTATGTTAACATAAATAACGTTACTGTGAAACTGGATTCAGGTTTTCTTGTGTAAAGATTTAAAGCTTTTGATGATGCTTACTTGGAGTCATGAAAATGCGAACCTGAGCAAACTAACTACTGGTAATTTACATGGCCAAATAATCACCACCAAAGGGTGAACACTAACTAATATGTGTGCTTATGAATTAATTTTATGCATATAACAGCAAAAGCGAATCCCGACAAGCTGAGCCACCTATCTATAGTAGTGTTACAGAATACTAAATTTGATAGACGGCCACACTGCCTATCCATTGTTTTGACTGTGTTATACCGAGCACGCATGACACAAGCTGTTATGGGTCAAAACTAGGCCTTATCAAATGATGCCCTGGCGCATTTCTAATTTCTGTCTGTCGTCTGTTGTGCCGGATGAAGACTTTCATCTCTAATGTTTAAGGACCTGAAGTTATTTTAGCTGAATCCAAGTACATCCTATCTAATAGTTGTGGTGATGGCTAATTAGTGGACAATTGCAACCCCAAGTATCTTTTATGCAGCTAGTAGCAAAAGGCATGGTGATTTCTTCACTATTCGACTGATTGAAAATAAGTTAACAATGAAAGATCAGTAAAAATATACTTGTTGATTGGATCTGTGATTTGCATACGACTCTGCTTTTCTTGTCCGGCAATATTTTCTAACAAACTCACAGCTCATCTGCTTCTGGATTACCTTGTCCTAGAACTTGCAAATATTCCCGGGGGAAAATGCGATGAAAATCAAAGCACCATAAGTTTCTCCAAATCGGGGGCCTCGTCGTGCATCCAGCTGCTTGATTTTGCCTTGCAATTATTCTCCATTGCTTTGTGTGATTTTAAACTTCACGGACTGTGTTGCTGTCGTCTTCTTTCCTTAGTTCCCTTTTAAATTTTCGAGCCTAAGAAAACAGGATCATTCATCAGTAGTATCCTTATAGAAAAAGCACCCTTGAGTTCCACCATTCTGTTATCCCTCTGAAGCTGGAGGACATCAGGATTGAACCTGCCTGCCTGGACACCATGATATTAGTAAACTTTTCGGTAATATTTTTCCTACGTGAGAAAAAATGATAGTGTAAGTGTCTGATACCGCTGATATGGGCTTACTAGTTGATTGTCACACCATACGCTTATAATGAAAAACACTTCTACTGTAACGGTGGTTTCTACTGATGGGGACATGAGAGTAGTGCGTTTCCTCGTCAATCCTCTTTGCGTCTCTTTATAAGTAAGATATGTGAAGTCGCATTTGGTTGCACTTGAGCAACAGTCAGCGAATATCCAGGAAAGCTCAGGAAGATGCATTCAAGGAGAAGATGGATGTTCAGTCTTGTAAACGAGATGTAAATGAGAGTTCTGCTTCCCTGCCCAATAGTCTGTAACTGTTCACTTGGCGTTTTCTAGTTAACATCTCCACAGCAAAGGCCTTCTTCCTTCCACTATTACTCCATACTTATACAGTCGCTTGGCTTCCATTCTGTAACGTTTTGATATCTCCACAATATTATCAATTTAATTTGATTGGAATTCTCAATTTTCAGGGCGATAGCCCAACCTGATGGCAATCTGAGTTACTCTAAGAGGTGTCCATAATTTAGCACGAAACGCGGAAGTTTGTACGGCTTGACTTGAAATTGACTCACAGTCACCAGAAAGCCGTAACAACAAAAAGGGGATGAATCTGACTTAGACCGTCGTCATACATGAGGTGTGCACTGGATATTATTTGTTTGCAGACATAGCATTCGTAGGAAAAATTGATTGTGTTGAGAGGGCACATTGGAATAAGCTGCATACAAAACCGAGAACCTATGAATTTCCAAATAACTATCATTGTTAGGGATGATGTGCTGTCAGCGAGGTAATTCTAAGATGGAGAACTAGACGTGCACTACATTTGCCCAATCCTTACGTGGAATCATCAGTGGTTCGCGCCTCACGAAACTCAGAAGGTTTTGAAGCCGTCACCTTCCTGTGGCCAGTGGTCGAACAATTAACCCTTTGGTCTGATTGGTCCGCTGGTTTTCAGTGTGACTTCGATAACGGAAACCACATCACGTGTTCATGTGTTGACTGGCTCCTTGATTGACATTTCTCAGAGATAAGTTTAACTCATCTTGTGGAGTTATTCTTTCCCTGAGACACTTGTCGGTCTACATGACCGTGAAATACTGCCATCATTGCCGTAGAATTAAGATAAATTTTCCGTCCTGTGGATTCTGCTCTGGATGACAAAAGCTCACTAGTATCAGTACATCTCGTTAGAATGCCTCAATCACACGTATGCATGACTTATTCCACAAAATTATTCTATCGATTTTACACGTACAGGTTTAAATAACGGAATAAGCTGAAATACTGTCACCTCTGCGTGAAGACGTGCGGCTTGGTTGAAAGTACTCTTTTTTCAAGCATTTCCAAAATTGGTCAATGTGTCATTTTTGTCAAGTATAAAACGACCGTTCTAGTGATCATAAGTGGTTTAGTATGTATAATACTATTTCGTTGTCGTGTGCATTCTTTACAACTGTGATCTTCATTTGGTTCCATTATGATTGTTTGAAGATAGCAATATGGCACAGCTGTGAGCACATTTGTGGCCGTTGTTTGTCACAAAATCTTGTGTACTGTAAATCCGTCCTTATATAATCCAAACCAAGTTTATTTTTTGGATGATATTGAGATTTCAATTTCAGTTACATTGGAGGTCTCTTATACTCTTCAAAAAACAGCCTACTCCAAGGAATTTCTGGAAAACCTGATGGCAAAATTGTTCATGAGCAGCAATCCAAATAAATCAATAAAACACCCCTACTTATCCTCGGAGGCATGGCAGGGATTAAATGAATATAAACGAATAAAAAATTTAGACGTAGATCTTGTTTACAGACGTAGCTCTCACTTTGTGCTCCGCGCCACTTGTCCATAAGGTGACGTTCCGAAGTGATCGAAACACTGTCCATTGGCGCAGATGCCTTACTGTGTTTGAGCTCTATGCTGAGAAGGCCTGGCCGCCTCCCCGTCAGTTCAGTGGACAAAATGTTTCGGTTTCAACAGTTCTCCTTTACCTCTCAGAAACACAGTTGGTATACAATACTCAAATTATTTTGCCCCACAAAACCCATCCAAATAGCTATTGGTT